GGGGGGGGTGAGGGGTGAGGGGTGGGGGGTGAGGGGGTGGGGGGTGGGGGGTGAGGGGGGTGAGGGGTGGGGGGGGTGAGGGGGGGGGGTGAGGGGGTGAGGGGGTGAGGGGGGAGAGTGTGAGGGGGTGGGGGGTGGGGTGAGGGGGTGGGGGGTGAGGGGGCGAGAGTGTGAGGGGGGGGGGGTGAGGGGGGAAGGGGTGGGGGGTGAGGGGGCGAGAGTGTGAGGGGGTGGGGGGTGAGGGGGTGAGGGGGTGGGGGTGAGGGGTGGGGGGTGAGGGGGTGGGGGGTGGGGGGTGAGGGGGTGGGGGTGAGGGGCGAGAGTGTGAGGGGTGGGGGGTGTCTGTCTCCACGTGTGGCAGCTCGCTTTGCCACCCCCGCGGTCACGTGATCACGATGCTAATTGCTCAGTTCCCATGGCGACCCCCGTGCAGGGATGTCGTGCGCGCGCGGATTGTGTGTGATTGTGTGTGTGATTGTGTGTGTGTGTGATTGTGTGTGATTGTGGTGTGTGATTGTGTGATTGTGTGTGATTGTGTGTGTGATTGTGTGTGGTGTGTGATTGTGTGTGATTGTGTGTGTGATTGTGTGTGTGATTGTGTGTGATTGTGTGTGTGTGTGATTGTTTAATTCGTGGTTTAGTGGTAATGAATTGGCCTGGCACAAGCATCGTGGTGACGTCACCGCCACTTAGTGGCGAATGGCGGTTGTGTTGTTGTTGTTGTGTGATGTGTGTGTGTGTGATTGTGTGTGTGATTGTGTGTGTGTGATGTGTGTGTGATTGTGTGTGTGTGATTGTGTGTGTGTGTGATTGTGTGTGATTGTGTGTGTGATTGTGTGTGTGATTGTGTGTGGTTTAGTGGTAATGAATTGAAGGTGGAGGGGTTACCAGCCCCTCACACCCGTCCAGAGCCCCCGTTTAGCCACTGTGGTGGTCACAGACGCCATGAGGGGAGAGGCCAATGGGCATTGGCCCTCCCCCACAGCACTGCCCACGACAGTGTTGCCCGTCCGGCACCGCGAGGAGGTAGGAGGTTGTTTTGCCGGACCTCCTGTCACGGTGCTGGCTAAAGTGGCCACTCGGGACAGAGTCATCTTGTTGGGTGACTTCAATGCCCGAGTTGGTCATGATGCTGACACCTGGTCTGGAGTGATTGGAAGGCATGGGCCAGATCAGCTCAATAATAACGGTAGGAGGCTGCTAGATTTTTGTGCAGCCCATGGGCTTGTAATTACCAACACGCTCTTCCGGCATCGGCGCATCCACACAACATCATGGATACATGCCGGGTCCAAGCAAGAACATCTGCTGGACTACATAGTGACGGACCAGCGGATGCGAACCCATGTCCTTGACACCAGGACCTACCGTGGAGCTGATCTGTCCTCTGACCATCGACTAGTCATCTGTAAGATGCGCCTGCCTTTCTTCCACTCCGGTGGTGGGTGTACACCCAGGATCCCATTCCAACCAAAAGTGGCCTGGTCTCAGTTAGCTGATGAAAGTTGCAAGCGAGAATTTCATCATCGCTTGCAGCTGGGGTTGGCATCGTCCCCCACTCCACCTGATGTCGAGGGTAAATGGGCGAGGTTTAGGACTGTGACTCATGCAGCTGCAATGGCTGCTTTGGGTACGCGGTCCAGACCTCCCCAGAAACCCTGGCTGACAGAGGAGGTGTTCAGGTTAATTGAGAAAAAGCGACAGGCCCACTCTCATCGCCTACAGCATCCCACGTCAGAGAATGAGGAGGTTTACCGCAGCCTTCGCTCGGAAGGCGTTGTAAGGATGGGTGGTGGTCGCGGGTTGCTGAGGAGATGGAGTCTGCCTCAGTGGCCCGTGATCACAAATCACTATTTAACTCCATCAAAAAGTAACCTGCAGCGCCACACCTATTACCATCATTAGAGGAAAAAACGGTGATCCAATCTCCGACCCCCAGGAACAGGTTTGCAGATTTGCTGAGCATTTCTGTGAGGTCCTGGGGGAGGGAAATTCTCTCAGCCAGGAAAACATCATGGCACAAAGTGGGGATAACCCTGCTGAGGCTGCGGTGCCTCAAATATTGGAAGAGGTCATCCCCTGTGAGTGGCTGGCTGAGGTTCCAGCTGTTGAGGAAGTACTGAGGGCGATCCGGAGTCTGAGACCAGGGAAGGCACCGGGCAGAGATGATCTCCCAAGCGAAATGCTGAGGGAGGGTGGCGTTTGTGCACAGACTGCCCTATATGACATCATAACAACAGTCTGGACCACTGGACGGGTTCCGCAGGACTGGAAGGATGCCATGGTGGTCCCCCTCTTTAAGAAGGGGGACCGCACAGACTGTAACAACTACAGGGGCATCTCACTCCTCAGTGTGCCGGGTAAGGTCCTGGCAAGGATTATTCAACATCGCCTTGCTAGGCACGCTGAGGAGGGGCTTGCGGAAGCCACAATGCGGTTTCAGGAAAGGGCGGGTCCTGCACAGATGCCATATTTTCTGTCCGTCTGCTACAGCAGAGGTGTAGGGAATTCCAAAAAGACCTACATCTCTGCTTTATTGACCTGGTCAAGGCCTATGATACCATCAGTAGGACTGGACTCTGGGTTGTTCTTCGTGCTTTCGGAGTCCCTGACCCTCTGCTCACGATCATTAAGGACCTTATGATGGTGAGCGGGCCCGGGTAAAACTACGTGGCCGGGAAGTCGGAGCCTTTCCCTGTACACCTTGGGGTGCGACAGGGATGTCCTCTGGCTCCCACATTATTTAACATCTATTTTGACCGCGTAGTTCGTGAAGCCTTCAATAGCTGTACCGGGGGAATTTCCGTTTGGTACAGATATAATGGAGGCTGATCGACGCCCGGGTGCGATCAAGGGATGGCTCCCTATTGGTCAACCACGTTATGTATGCCGATGATTTGGTAATAGCTGCTCATTCAGAAGAGGAGTTGGAGGCGCTGCTGCTGAGACTGGAGCGTGCCACTAAGAGGTGGGGCCTTACCATCAGCCCCACCAAAACCAAGCACCTGCCTGGGTATTTTGTACCATCGGACACTCCACCCCCACAACTCCCAATTGGTGATGGGGCAGTTGTGGAGAGAGTGGAGAGTTTCCCATACCTGGGCAGTGTGCTTATGACCGGCTCCAGTCTATCAGCAGAGGTCTCACTCCGAATCAGTCGAGCGGCAATATCTTTTCATCGGTTGCGTAACGCTGTGTGGAAGCTACCTGGTCTGTCGCTCCGCACGAAGCTTCAGGTCTTCTCGGCCACGGTCATTCCCTCCCTTCTCTACGCTTGCGAGACGTGGACCCCCCTGGTGGAGCATCTTCGCCGGTTGGAACATTTAGGCTGGCCTGCCTACGATCCATCCTGGGTTTAACCAGGCTGGATTGTGTGAGGAGCTCACAAATCCTTGAAAGATCTGGGCAAAGTCCCATCAGTGAGCTCCTCCGGCAGGCAAGGCTGCGTTGGCTGGGTCATGTAGCCCGCATGCCCAGCCACCGCATGCCTAAACAGCTTTTGTTCGGCCGGATCGAGGGGGCTAGACGGGCGCGGCACGGGCTGGAGAAGAGATGGAGTGATGTGGTACAGGAGGACGTGGAGCTGAGTGGACTTGCCGATGACTGGTACCAGCGGTGTCAAGATCGGCCTCAGTGGAGGAGGCTCGTGAAGGACGCTACTGGGCAGTTGGAGGCAGTCGCCCTCCAACAACAACGGAGGGCGGAGGAGCGACGCTCACAACAACGAGCGGAGCGCCGGGTGGCTAAAGCACAGCAAGTTGGTACAGTAGGGGGCACAGGTGGTGCATCAGCCAGTCATCTCGGTCATATCGGTCAGTCGACCCGTGGTACCTGCTGGGTCTGCCCCGTGACCTCCTGCCAGCGGGCGTTCGACACTTCACGTGGCCTCAAGGTGCACTTGGCCTGGCACAAGCGTCGTGGTGACGTCACCGCCACTTAGTGGTGAATGGCGGTTGTTGTTGTTGTTGTGTGTGATTGTGTGTGTGTGATTGTGTAGGTGCTCGCTACAGCACTTGCCCCTCCAGCCTGTTGCAGGCTATACAGGGGATCTTTGTAAGTGTGTGTATGTGCGCGTATGTGTTTGTGTGTTTGTGGAGCGGTCGTGTAGTGGTGAGCGCTACGCCAGTCACGATTATTTGAACCGGTCCGCTAGGTCGACTCAGCCGTAAATGAGCACCTGGTGCGCGCGTGTAAAACATCGCCACTCGGGAGACAAAGGCGGCCGGGCGGGGCCCTGGCCACCCACCCCCCCTTGTCCATAGGTGCTCGTTGCCAGCACCTGCCACAACAGGCTGTCATGGTTATACGGGCATCTTTATCATTGTGGTGAGTGCCCGCGTGTGTGTGCGTGTGTGTGTGCGTGTGTGTGCGTGCGTGTGTGTGCGCGTGTGTCTACGTGTTTGCGTGTTTGCGTGCGTGTGTGCGTGTGTGTGTGCGTGTGTGTGCGTGTGTGTGTGCGTGTGTCTACGTGTGTGCGTGCGTGTGTGCGTGTGTGTGCGTGTGTGTGTGTGTCTGTGCGTGTGTGTGCCACACTGCCCTGGGGAATATGGCAGGTCGCCGTCAAAGTTCCTTCGTTTATAGACGTCTCCGCGCGCCCCCCGTGTCTGCCCCCCCCCCCCCCGGTGCCTCTGAGTCACCGCATTCAAAGCGACTCCGAGTTCACCATCGGCAGCATCAGTCGCTCGTGCCGGCAGCGTCTCGAGCAGCGAGCGGCAACCACGCGCCCTGTATTTCTTGTTGAGATAACAACAATCATCATCATCGCTACATCATCATTATTGCTGCATGATCATCATTTTCATCATCGCTTCATCATCACCGCTGCATGATCATTATCATCATCGCTGCATGATCATCATCATCATCATCGCTGCATCGTCATCATCATCACTGCATCATGATCACCATCGTTGCATGATCACCATCGCATTGAGGAACTGAGCGTCAGCGAAAGGCACCGTGGAGATGGAGCCGAGGAATCGCCCTGAACCTGACGACGTCGAGACGACTCGCGCTGCAGGTACTGGCGCCGTGACGCTAAACGATCCTCCCCCGGCACTCCGGCGAGCGGCGACATCACGCCGCCCGCACCTCTCGCTTGCAAGGAATCGCTTGCCCGCCGCGTCTGAATGTATCAGGCTGGGCACATGGCAGGGCACGGTCGGCGCGCGCTGCGCTCTGCGTCACGCTCCGTGCGCACATTGTCAGGGAGATCACATTGTCAGGGAGATCACATTGTCAGGGAGATCACATTGTCAGGGAGATCACATTGTCAGGGAGATCACATTGTCAGGGAGATCACATTGTCAGGGAGATCACATTGTCAGGGAGATCGCATTGTCAGGGAGATCGCATTGTCAGGGAGATCGCATTGTCAGGGAGATCACATTGTCAGGGAGATCGCATTGTCAGGGAGATCACATTGTCAGGGAGATCACATTGTCAGGGAGATCGCATTGTCAGGGAGATCACATTGTCAGGGAGATCACATTGTCAGGGAGATCACATTGTCAGGGAGATCACATTGTCAGGGAGATCACATTGTCAGGGAGATCACATTGTCAGGGAGATCGCATTGTCAGGGAGATCACATTGTCAGGGAGATCGCATTGTCAGGGAGATCACATTGTCAGGGAGATCGCATTGTCAGGGAGATCACATTGTCAGGGAGATCACATTGTCAGGGAGATCACATTGTCAGGGAGATCACATTGTCAGGGAGATCACATTGTCAGGGAGATCGCATTGTCAGGGAGATCACATTGTCAGGGAGATCGCATTGTCAGGGAGATCACATTGTCAGGGAGATCACATTGTCAGGGAGATCGCATTGTCAGGGAGATCACATTGTCAGGGAGATCGCACATTGTCAGGGAGATCACATTGTCAGGGAGATCGGACACCGTCAAAGGAGTTGTGGATTTTTTTATTTAAAGTTTTCGTGACTGCAGGGATTCATCTTCTTGGTTCTTTCATTCAGACGCTGTCTTTCCGACAGACCTGTTCTTCACCTGAGGACGGCTGCTTGCGTTGTGGCCGAAACGTCGTGAGAATTGTATTTTATTGTGTTTTATTTTTATTATTTTATTATTTCCCTTCTACGTGACTTTACCGAAAGAACCAAGAAGAGTTGTGGAATGTCCACTCACGGCCAGACGGAGATTGGCATCGCTCCAAGTTGCGACGTCACAGCTCTTGTCAATCCACTGCTGGATGGGATATTCAGCCATACTTCACCACGCCGGTCCTCGAGATTTGCTGGAGGCGGGCAGCGTAGACGCAGGTGATGTTTCTATTTTATTTTATGGAGGAGCTCAGCCGCTTGTGCTGCTCGCCACGTCCGCCCCCGGAGCCTGACGACGGCTGCTCTTACTCAAGCTGCTCGCCCAGCCGAGCACCATCCAGACTCGAGGCCGCTTAGCTTCGGAGATCGGCGACGGCGTCTGCCCGACACGTGGCGCGCGAGGTGCCGTCTCACGGTGTCCACATGCTGCCGGCAAACATGTCCCCCCCCTCTCATCTCCCTTGCAGCAGACACGACGGACGAATTCCTCCAGCGCTTCGGACTGCGCCTGCAAGGTGAGCTTGCGCCCGCTTAACGCGACACCACAACCGTCGGCCGTGGTCCATCCACTGCTGGGTGAAAGCCGGGTGACTGCTCCTCGCCGTCCGTCGCTCACGGCCCAGAGCCGCCGCCAACCATCTCCCTCGCTGGCTGTGCGCAGATTCGGATTTACTTATGACTGGGGGAGATCAGCGCTTTGTTTACAGATGTCCAGTAGGGGCACGGGGTAAGCAGGTTACAACAACAACAGGCACGCGATAGGGGTGCAAAGTACAAGAGAGGTAAACAGATCACCCAACACACAAATACAACACTGAACCATCACCACACTGAGCCCACATCGTCACTACATCCCCCGCGGTGCTCCTCCCGCTGGACGCGTCCCCCCCCTCCTTGGGCTGCCATTCCATCGCCGCTCTCGTGCCGTCGGTCGCAGCGGTGGCACTCGCGCCTCGCAGCTCGAAGCGCCTGGGTGAGATTCCCGACTCGATCGCCTCTCAGTTTGCACACTCTCCCGCTTGGTGTGCGCTTGGGTTGACCTCCGCGTTCTCGCCTCAACAAATGAAATCTTAACGCTGTCATTGGGCAAAACGGCATCGCAAGTGCTGAAAATATCACCTGCGAATCACTCATCTGGGTAACACACACACATACAGCAGCAGCAGCAACATCGCTGCTGCCACGCCACTCGATGTGCATCCGTGACTCGCGCTTTGTGAGGAGCGGTGGTGCAATGGTTAGCGCAGTGCGCTAGGATCGAGGAAAAACCTTGAGTGCGATTCGAGGCCACGGCTAAGACGAGAGGCGAGCGAGGAATGAACCGGTTCTGACTACCCTCCCCCTACTCCACCGACATTAACCAACCCGCACTGACTGGCGTGGTGAAGTATGGTCAAACAACACCCACGACCGGCACGGCGTAGGAAGGCATTCAGCCAAGAATGTTGGGCAAAACGCTGCGCTTGATGACAGCATTTTTACACTCACAGCGCGGACATTTCAGGGACTACACCAGTCAGTTGACTACCTGGTGTCTCACCCCGTGAGTCACTAAGTCACCTGACCACCTGGTGTCTCACCCCGTGAGTCACTAAGTCAGCTGACTACCTGGTGTCTCACCCCGTGAGTCACTAAGTCACCTGACTACCTGGTGTCTCACCCCGTGAGTCACTAAGTCAGCTGACTACCTGGTGTCTCACCCCGTGAGTCACTAAGTCACCTGACTACCTGGTGTCTCACCCCGTGAGTCACTAAGTCAGCTGACTACCTGGTGTCTCACCCCGTGAGTCACTAAGTCAGCTGACTACCTGGTGTCTCACCCCGTGAGTCACTAAGTCACCTGACTACCTGGTGTCTCATCCCGTGAGTCACTAAGTCAGCTGACTACCTGGTGTCTCACCCCGTGAGTCACTAAGTCACCTGACTACCTGGTGTCTCATCCCGTGAGTCACTAAGTCAGCTGACTACCTGGTGTCTCACCCCGTGAGTCACTAAGTCACCTGACTACCTGGTGTCTCAACCCGTGAGTCACTAAGTCAGCTGACTACCTGGTGTCTCACCCCGTGACGTCACTAAGTCAGCTGACTACCTGGTGTCTCACCCCGTGAGTCACTAAGTCACCTGACTACCTGGTGTCTCACCCCGTGTGTCACTAAGTCACCTGACTACCTGGTGTCTCACCCCGTGAGTCACTAAGTCACCTGACTACCTGGTGTCTCACCCAGTGAGTCACTAAGTCACCTGACTACCTGGTGTCTCACCCCGTGAGTCACTAAGTCACCTGACTACCTGGTGTCTCACCCCGTGAGTCACTAAGTCACCTGACTACCTGGTGTCTCACCCCGTGAGTGACTGAGTCAGCTGACTACCTGGTGTCTCACCTCGTGATGTCACTAAGTAACCTGACTACCTGGTGTCTCACCCCGTGAGTCACTAAGTCAGCTGACTACCTGGTGTCTCACCCCGTGAGTCACTAAGTCAGCTGACTACCTGGTGTCTCACCCCGTGTGTCATTAAGTCACCTGACTACCTGGTGTCTCACCCCGTGTGTCATTAAGTCACCTGACTACCTGGTGTCTCACCCCGTGTGTCACTAAGTCACCTGACCACCTGGTGTCTCACCCCGTGTGTCATTAAGTCACCTGACTACCTGGTGTCTCAACCCGTGAGTCACTAAGTCAGCTGACTACCTGGTGTCTCACCCCGTGACGTCACTAAGTCAGCTGACTACCTGGTGTCTCACCTCGTGATGTCACTAAGTCAGCTGACTACCTGGTGTCTCACCCCGTGAGTCACTAAGTCACCTGACTACCTAGTGTCTCACCCCGTGTGTCACTAAGTCACCTGACTACCTGGTGTCTCACCCCGTGAGTCACTAAGTCACCTGACTACCTGGTGTCTCACCCCGTGAGTCACTAAGTCACCTGACTACCTGGTGTCTCACCCCGTGAGTCACTAAGTCACCTGACTACCTGGTGTCTCACCCCGTGAGTCACTAAGTCACCTGACTACCTGGTGTCTCACCCCGTGAGTGACTGAGTCAGCTGACTACCTGGTGTCTCACCTCGTGATGTCACTAAGTAACCTGACTACCTGGTGTCTCACCCCGTGAGTCACTAAGTCAGCTGACTACCTGGTGTCTCACCCCGTGAGTCACTAAGTCAGCTGACTACCTGGTGTCTCACCCCGTGTGTCATTAAGTCACCTGCCTACCTGGTGTCTCACCCGTGTGTCATTAAGTCACCTGACTACCTGGTGGTCACCCCATGTGTCACTAAGTCACCTGACCACCTGGTGTCTCACCCCGTGTGTCATTAAGTCACCTGACTACCTGGTGTCTCACCCCGTGTGTCACTAAGTCAGCTGACTACCTGGTGTCTCACCCCGTGAGTCACTAAGTCACCTGACCACCTGGTGTCTCACCCCGTGTGTCATTAAGTCAGCTGACTACCTGGTGTCTCACCCCGTGAGTCACTAAGTCACCTGACTACCTGGTGTCTCATCCCGTGAGTCACTAAGTCAGCTGACTACCTGGTGTCTCAACCCGTGAGTCACTAAGTCAGCTGACTACCTGGTGTCTCACCCCGTGACGTCACCAAGTCAGCTGACTACCTGGTGTCTCACCTCGTGATGTCACTAAGTCAGCTGACTACCTGGTGTCTCACCCCATGAGTCACTAAGTCACCTGACTACCTGGTGTCTCACCCCGTGTGTCACTAAGTCACCTGACTACCTGGTGTCTCACCCCGTGAGTCACTAAGTCATCTGACTACCTGGTGTCTCACCCCGTGAGTCACTAAGTCACCTGACTACCTTGTGTCTCACCCCGTGAGTCACTAAGTCACCTGACTACCTGGTGTCTCACCCCGTGAGTCACTAAGTCACCTGACTACCTGGTGTCTCACCCCGTGAGTGACTGAGTCAGCTGACTACCTGGTGTCTCACCTCGTGATGTCACTAAGTAACCTGACTACCTGGTGTCTCACCCCGTGAGTCACTAAGTCAGCTGACTACCTGGTGTCTCACCCCGTGAGTCACTAAGTCAGCTGACTACCTGGTGTCTCACCCCGTGTGTCATTAAGTCACCTGACTACCTGGTGTCTCACCCCGTGTGTCATTAAGTCACCTGACTACCTGGTGTCTCACCTCGTGATGTCACTAAGTAACCTGACTACCTGGTGTCTCACCCCGTGAGTCACTAAGTCAGCTGACTACCTGGTGTCTCACCCCGTGAGTCACTAAGTCACCTGACTACCTGGTGTCTCACCCCGTGAGTCACTAAGTCAGCTGACTACCTGGTGTCTCACCCCGTGAGTCACTAAGTCACCTGACTACCTGGTGTCTCACCCCGTGAGTCACTAAGTCAGCTGACTACCTGGTGTCTCACCCCGTGAGTCACTAAGTCAGCTGACTACCTGGTGTCTCACCCCGTGAGTCACTAAGTCACCTGACTACCTGGTGTCTCATCCCGTGAGTCACTAAGTCAGCTGACTACCTGGTGTCTCACCCCGTGAGTCACTAAGTCACCTGACTACCTGGTGTCTCATCCCGTGAGTCACTAAGTCAGCTGACTACCTGGTGTCTCACCCCGTGAGTCACTAAGTCACCTGACTACCTGGTGTCTCAACCCGTGAGTCACTAAGTCAGCTGACTACCTGTTGTCTCACCCCGTGACGTCACTAAGTCAGCTGACTACCTGGTGTCTCACCCCGTGAGTCACTAAGTCACCTGACTACCTGGTGTCTCACCCCGTGTGTCACTAAGTCACCTGACTACCTGGTGTCTCACCCCGTGAGTCACTAAGTCACCTGACTACCTGGTGTCTCACCCAGTGAGTCACTAAGTCACCTGACTACCTGGTGTCTCACCCCGTGAGTCACTAAGTCACCTGACTACCTGGTGTCTCACCCCGTGAGTCACTAAGTCACCTGACTACCTGGTGTCTCACCCCGTGAGTGACTGAGTCAGCTGACTACCTGGTGTCTCACCTCGTGATGTCACTAAGTAACCTGACTACCTGGTGTCTCACCCCGTGAGTCACTAAGTCAGCTGACTACCTGGTGTCTCACCCCGTGAGTCACTAAGTCAGCTGACTACCTGGTGTCTCACCCCGTGTGTCATTAAGTCACCTGACTACCTGGTGTCTCACCCCGTGTGTCATTAAGTCACCTGACTACCTGGTGTCTCACCCCGTGTGTCACTAAGTCACCTGACCACCTGGTGTCTCACCCCGTGTGTCATTAAGTCACCTGACTACCTGGTGTCTCAACCCGTGAGTCACTAAGTCAGCTGACTACCTGGTGTCTCACCCCGTGACGTCACTAAGTCAGCTGACTACCTGGTGTCTCACCTCGTGATGTCACTAAGTCAGCTGACTACCTGGTGTCTCACCCCGTGAGTCACTAAGTCACCTGACTACCTAGTGTCTCACCCCGTGTGTCACTAAGTCACCTGACTACCTGGTGTCTCACCCCGTGAGTCACTAAGTCACCTGACTACCTGGTGTCTCACCCCGTGAGTCACTAAGTCACCTGACTACCTGGTGTCTCACCCCGTGAGTCACTAAGTCACCTGACTACCTGGTGTCTCACCCCGTGAGTCACTAAGTCACCTGACTACCTGGTGTCTCACCCCGTGAGTGACTGAGTCAGCTGACTACCTGGTGTCTCACCTCGTGATGTCACTAAGTAACCTGACTACCTGGTGTCTCACCCCGTGAGTCACTAAGTCAGCTGACCACCTGGTGTCTCACCCCGTGAGTCACTAAGTCAGCTGACTACCTGGTGTCTCACCCCGTGTGTCATTAAGTCACCTGACTACCTGGTGTCTCACCCCGTGTGTCATTAAGTCACCTGACTACCTGGTGTCTCACCCCGTGTGTCACTAAGTCACCTGACCACCTGGTGTCTCACCCCGTGTGTCATTAAGTCACCTGACTACCTGGTGTCTCACCCCGTGTGTCACTAAGTCAGCTGACTACCTGGTGTCTCACCCCGTGAGTCACTAAGTCACCTGACCACCTGGTGTCTCACCCCGTGTGTCATTAAGTCAGCTGACTACCTGGTGTCTCACCCCGTGAGTCACTAAGTCACCTGACTACCTGGTGTCTCATCCCGTGAGTCACTAAGTCAGCTGACTACCTGGTGTCTCAACCCGTGAGTCACTAAGTCAGCTGACTACCTGGTGTCTCACCCCGTGACGTCACCAAGTCAGCTGACTACCTGGTGTCTCACCTCGTGATGTCACTAAGTCAGCTGACTACCTGGTGTCTCACCCCGTGAGTCACTAAGTCACCTGACTACCTGGTGTCTCACCCCGTGTGTCACTAAGTCACCTGACTACCTGGTGTCTCACCCCGTGAGTCACTGAGTCATCTGACTACCTGGTGTCTCACCCCGTGAGTCACTAAGTCACCTGACTACCTGGTGTCTCACCCCGTGAGTGACTGAGTCAGCTGACTATCTGGTGTCTCACCTCGTGATGTCACTAAGTAACCTGACTACCTGGTGTCTCACCCCGTGAGTCACTAAGTCAGCTGACTACCTGGTGTCTCACCCCGTGAGTCACTAAGTCAGCTGACTACCTGGTGTCTCACCCCGTGTGTCATTAAGTCACCTGACTACCTGGTGTCTCACCCCGTGTGTCATTAAGTCACCTGACTACCTGGTGTCTCACCCCGTGTGTCACTAAGTCACCTGACCACCTAGTGTCTCACCCCGTGTGTCATTAAGTCACCTGACTACCTGGTGTCTCACCCCGTGTGTCACTAAGTCAGCTGACTACCTGGTGTCTCACCCCGTGAGTCACTAAGTCACCTGACCACCTGGTGTCTCACCCCGTGTGTCATTAAGTCACCTGACTACCTGGTGTCTCACCCCGTGTGTCACTAAGTCAGCTGACTACCTGGTGTCTCACCCAGTGTGTCACTAAGTCACCTGACCACCTGGTGTCTCACCCCGTGTGTCATTAAGTCACCTGACCACCTGGTGTCTCACCCCGTGAGTCACTAAGTCAGCTGACTACCTGGTGTCTCACCTCGTGATGTCACTAAGTCACCTGACTACCTGGTGTCTCACCTCGTGATGTTACTAAGTCGCCTGACTACCTGGTGTCTCACCCCGTGTGTCACTAAGTCAGCTGACTACCTGGTGTCTCACCCCGTATGTCACTAAGTCACCTGACTACCTGGTGTCTCACCCCGTGAGTCACTAAGTCAGCTGACTACCTGGTGTCTCACCCCGTGAGTCACTAAGTCAGCTGACTACCTGGTGTCTCACCCCGTGACGTCACTAAGTCACCTGACTACCTGGTGTCTCACCTCGTGATGTTACTAAGTCACCTGACTACCTGGTGTCTCACCCCGTGTGTCACTAAGTCAGCTGACCACCTGGTGTCTCACCCCGTGTGTCACTAAGTCACCTGACTACCTGGTGTCTCACCCCGTGTGTCACTAAGTCAGCTGACTACCTGGTGTCTCACCCCGTGAGTCACTAAGTCACCTGACCACCTGGTGTCTCACCCCGTGTGTCACTAAGTCACCTGACTACCTGGTGTCTCACCCCGTGAGTCACTAAGTCAGCTGACTACCTGGTGTCTCACCCCGTGACGTCACTAAGTCACCTGACTACCTGGTGTCTCACCTCGTGAGTCACTAAGTCACCTGACTACCTGGTGTCTCACCCCGTGAGTCACTAAGTCAGCTGACTACCTGGTGTCTCACCTCGTGATGTTACTAAGTCACCTGACTACCTGGTGTCTCACCCCGTGTGTCACTAAGTCAGCTGACCACCTGGTGTCTCACCCCGTGTGTCACTAAGTCACCTGACTACCTGGTGTCTCACCCCGTGTGTCACTAAGTCAGCTGACTACCTGGTGTCTCACCCCGTGAGTCACTAAGTCACCTGACCACCTGGTGTATCTCCCCGTGTGTCACTAAGTCACCTGACTACCTGGTGTCTCACCCCGTGAGTCACTAAGTCAGCTGACTACCTGGTGTCTCACCCCGTGACGTCACTAAGTCACCTGACTACCTGGTGTCTCACCTCGTGATGTTACTAAGTCACCTGACTACCTGGTGTCTCACCCCGTATGTCACTAAGTCACCTGACTACCTGGTGTCTCACCCCGTGAGTCACTAAGTCAGCTGACTACCTGGTGTCTCACCCCGTGAGTCACTAAGTCAGCTGACTACCTGGTGTCTCACCCCGTGACGTCACTAAGTCACCTGACTACCTGGTGTCTCACCTCGTGATGTTACTAAGTCACCTGACTACCTGGTGTCTCACCCCGTGTGTCACTAAGTCAGCTGACCACCTGGTGTCTCACCCCGTGTGTCACTAAGTCACCTGACTACCTGGTGTCTCACCCCGTGTGTCACTAAGTCAGCTGACTACCTGGTGTCTCACCCCGTGAGTCACTAAGTCACCTGACCACCTGGTGTCTCACCCCGTGTGTCACTAAGTCACCTGACTACCTGGTGTCTCACCCCGTGAGTCACTAAGTCAGCTGACTACCTGGTGTCTCACCCCGTGACGTCACTAAGTCACCTGACTACCTGGTGTCTCACCTCGTGAGTCACTAAGTCACCTGACTACCTGGTGTCTCACCCCGTGAGTCACTAAGTCAGCTGACTACCTGGTGTCTCACCTCGTGATGTTACTAAGTCACCTGACTACCTGGTGTCTCACCCCGTGTGTCACTAAGTCAGCTGACCACCTGGTGTCTCACCCCGTGTGTCACTAAGTCACCTGACTACCTGGTGTCTCACCCCGTGTGTCACTAAGTCAGCTGACTACCTGGTGTCTCACCCCGTGAGTCACTAAGTCACCTGACCACCTGGTGTCTCACCCCGTGTGTCACTAAGTCACCTGACTACCTGGTGTCTCACCCCGTGAGTCACTAAGTCAGCTGACTACCTGGTGTCTCACCCCGTGACGTCACTAAGTCACCTGACTACCTGGTGTCTCACCTCGTGATGTTACTAAGTCACCTGACTACCTGGTGTCTCACCCCGTGTGTCACTAAGTCAGCTGACCACCTGGTGTCTCACCCCGTGTGTCACTAAGTCACCTGACTACCTGGTGTCTCACCCCGTGTGTCACTAAGTCAGCAGACTACCTGGTGTCTCACCCCGTGAGTCACTAAGTCACCTGACCACCTGGTGTCTCACCCCGTGTGTCACTAAGTCACCTGACTACCTGGTGTCTCACCCCGTGTGTCACTAAGTCAGCTGACTACCTGGTGTCTCACCCAGTGTGTCACTAAGTCACCTGACCACCTGGTGTCTCACCCCGTGAGTCACTAAGTCACCTGACTACCTGGTGTCTCACCCCGTGACGTCACTAAGTCACCTGACTACCTGGTGTCTCACCGCGTGTCGCCCCACGCAGCGCGCAGACCCAGCCACGTGGCGCTGATGGCGACCGCGGGGTCCAAGCGCGACTCGCGACGATACGCAGGCGACGACGACGAGGAGGAGGAGGTGGAGGAGGAGGAGGTGGTGGAGGGGGAGGAGGAGGTGGAGGAGGAGGGGGAGGAGTGGTCCAGCCACGATCGGCACCGCGCGTCGAGCCGTGACGCGGACGAGGAGGAGGCGATCCCGCAGCGCCAGCAGGCGGCGCCCAAGCCGCGTGTGGAGAGCGACCGTGAAGAGGAGAGCCCCAGCACCATCACCACCACCATCAGCCCCACCACCATCACCACCACCATCACCACCAGCAGCAGCAGGAGCAGCAGCAGCAGGAGCAGCAGCAGGGGCTGGAGCAGGACGCGAGCGCGCAGCGACACGCCGAGCCTGGCCGAGCTCCGCTCCGCGCTCAAGCTGGACGCGCAGACCGCCGGTAACACGACGACGACGCTGCTGCTGCTGTCCTGCTTGCTGTGCTGTCCTGCTTGCTGTGCTGCTTGCTGTGATGTCCTGCTTGCTGTCCTGCTTGCTGCGCTGTGCTGCTTGCTGGGCTGTCCTGCTTGCTGGGCTGTCCTGCTTGCTGCGCTGTCCTGCTTGCTGCGCTGTCCTGCTTGCTGGGCTGTCCTGCTTGCTGTGCTGTCCGCGGTGTTCAGCTGCCCTCCCTGTCAGCTCTGTGCTGCTGCTGCTGTCTGACAGCCCCGCCTCTCCGTGCGCTCCGTGCAGCGCGGGCGGTGATGGCGGTGATGGTGATGATGGGAGCGCCGCTAGCTCGTCGTGTCTGTCTGTGTGCCACCGCGTGCGTGTGCAGACCTGTGTGTGTGTAGACCCGCGTGTGTGTGTAGACCCGTGTGTGTGCATCCTCCTGTGTGTGTAGACCTGTGTGTGTGTATGTATGCGTCCGTGTGCGTGTCTGTGCGGATCCTCCTGTGTGTGTGAATCCGCGTGTGTGTGAATCCGCGTGTGTGTGCAGACCTGTGTGTGTAGACCTGTGTGTGTGCATCCTCCTGTGTGTGTGCAGACCTGTGCGTGTGTAGACCTGTGTGTGTGCATCCTCTTGTGTGTTTGCAGACCTGTGTGTGTGTCTATATGTATGTGTCCGTGTGCGTGTCTGTGCGGATCCTCCTGTGTGTATACCTGTGTGTGTGTATACATGTGTGTGTGTATACCTGTGTGTGTGTGTATACCCGTGTGTGTGTGTATACCCGTGTGTGTATTCTCGCGTGTGTTGTTCGTAGTACCGTGTAGGATTCTCAATGGGGGTGCTCGTGTGCTGAACGCATGCACACTGCGATGTTGCTGTTCTTGCTGTTGTTAACGTGAGTGCGGGTTATTGCGAATAACGGGATGCATCATGGGGTGGGGGCGGTGTCATTTCACGATTTCATTCGAGGGCCCATGCCAGCCGCGCTGCCCGATGCCGTGCCCCACATGCCCTGACGTGGGTCGCTGTGTCGGGGGGTGCGCTCCAGTACGAACCTCGAGCGGTTAACAATTCTCTGTGCGTGTGTGTGGGGGGGGGGGGGTAACGATGAGAGGAAACCGATGCACACAGGGGGAGAGAAACAAACAAACTGCCCACATGTCAACTATCTCGCCAGATATGCAGGAGATCGGGGGTTTGATCTCGACCCCGACGATAGCTGCTGTATATTTGGAGTTTACGATGTCGCGCTCTCGCTCTCTCTCTCGTCGATTTTCCTCCTCCACGTTCAGCTCGAGCAGACACTTCGTTGAGCTGTCATTCGCTTTTGAGAAACAGCTACGCAGCTCAGTCGGGGAAGGGGGCTTACCTGGTACAACATAAAACACAAATTGAGTTTCAGCTTCGTAATAAAGCTCCAGGTAGAAATGCACCCGAGTCTGGAATCGAACCCAGTTCCCCCCCCCCCCTCTTGAAACTCGTGGAGAGGAACACGTCCTCCCTCTCTGCCGCCCGTCACGGGTGTGCTGGGTCGCAAATCCACTGCTGGATGAGAGCCTGCCCACGTTGGCCGTGGTGGTTATTTGACCATACTTCACCACGCTGGTGCGTGCGGCTGTGCGCGTAGACGTCGTGGTGGTTATTTGACCATACTTCACCACGCTGGTGCGTGCGGCTGTGCGCGTAGACGTCGTGGTGGTTATTTGACCATACTTCACCACGCTGGTGCGTGCGGCTGTGCGTGTAGACGTCGTGGTGGTTATTTGACCATACTTCACCACGCTGGTGCGTGCGGGCCGGTGAAAGGTGGCTGTGCGCGTAGACGCCGTGGGGGAGGGAGGGGGCGCGCGGGGGGTGGGGGTGTATCGAAGTACGGTACAACAACGATCATAGCCGCCTCCAGCGACACGTGTTCTGTGCAAAGGTGGGGGGCGTCCTTCCAGCAGAGCGCCGTCCAGGCTCGGGAACCCAGGTTCGCTCCCGTGCTGTGGCGGGACGATGGGGAGAACACCATCGCTAAAGTCGGTGGTGAGTTTTGTTTGTTGTTGTTGTTTTCACGCGGACTTAAGTTGCGACGTGATTGTCAACGGGTTCTTTCGTCCGCGGGGAAGAAAGAGAAGCCGAGGCTGTACGATCTAGCAACGCGAGGCGGTCGGGGGGGGGGGGGTACGCAGATCTTCAAACTAAAGCGGAAGTATTACATCTCACACAGGGTCGTCGAAGCGCGTGGACCCCCAAACCGCGGGGCCCGGGGCAGTCGTACCCCCTGATTCGCCACCGTACCCGCGATGTCACAAACCCCAATGGTGTTTCAAATGAGTGCAGCAGCCCTCACACGGATTATGTCTTGCTGGCGAATGTGGTGCCATCCCCCCCCTCCCCGCCTCTCTCTGAAAATGAGTGAAGAACACTGCTCTGAGCGTGTAACGTGGATTCTAATTGTGGGAGGGGCAAGAAAAAACCCGGAGGGCCCGGAGAAAAAATCCACGCAACCGCTTCGGGGAGAGAGCGAGAGAGACACGCAAACGGGAAATATACAGCAGGCGTCAGGGTCGGGATCGAACCAACGGACCTCCTGCAACACCAGACGAGCTCGCCTGATCCCTGATCATCCCCACTGACAATTTGCTAATTCCCCACCCTTAACTGAATGTTTCCTGCGCGTATCGTAGAGAAACCATTGGCCGTGTCGTGCGCACGTACGTACGCGTGTATGTTGCACGTGTGTAAGTTCCATGTATGGATGTTGAACTTCTGTCGCAGCGTGTGGAGCCAAGCGCGCTAATCGTTGGCGTTGTTCACATCCCATTCCACCGCCCTCTGATACTGGGGACGTTTTGAAAATTCTCGATGTGGGTCTCACGCGACTCGTGCCAATTTCGCGTCGTTTGCTATTCTGCCTCCACACCCAACTCCCAACTCCATCTCTCTTCTCCACACCCACCGCCGCCGCTCGTTCGCCCACCGTGCATCTCCCACGGATAGCCACGCGAGTTGTCTGGAGTGAAACATTGTGAGATGCGCATCCGGATGAGAGAGGGGGCGGGGGATGTCTGCAGCTCACACCGAGGTTTGGGAAATTGAGTCCCGGTGATAATTGGAGTGGCAGGATGGTGACGCGGTGGTGAGAATCGCGCCGTACACAGGCGACAAGGGCCTTGGTTCGGTTCCCGACGCAGCCATATCTCTTGGGTGGAGTTTGTATTTTCTCCCCTTATTCTGTATGGGTTTCTTTCCGGCTTATCCTGTTTCCGCCCATAGCTAAACAAAACAATACGAGGCCATTGGTATTGGCCAGGCCTGAAAATTACTCCGTTGCAATAAGGAGCCCAGTTCGGTTCAAGAGGCCTCAGGTATTTTTTTTAATCACTGAAATCGCACGCAATTATCCGCGTGAAGACGCGCAGAGACGACGGCGTTGAGGCTGCGTGGCTGCGTTGTGTTGCGTTGCCCACCGCCAGCGCGAGCATTGAGCGCGTCCGTAGCCCCGCGCCTGGCCCTGCTTGGCCCCGAGCAAGATTCAGGCGCCTTGTGAGGCCAACTTAGCACGGTTTGGTTCAGGCATAACAAATCGCCAGCAGGAAAACCACCCGTACCGTGATGGTCTGGTACTAGCACGGCTCGGATGTGCCAGTGGAAAAGGAATTTGATAGGCATTGTTTAATTGTGCAGAGAAGGTGGACTTCCTACATGCCTATCTGAGCACACGATTTTGGCAAGATGGATTTATTTTCGCTGATCCGGTTGAGTGAACACTGAGAAACGCCGCCCGCTCGATTTGAAAACAAAAACAATTATCCAAAATAATTCGACACGCTTGACCGAGCCACACTCGCCAGCCGGCCCCACGTGGTCCCAGCGCCAGAGCGAGCAGCTGGCAATATGAAGGGCACCGAGATGGCTAGGAGATGTTCACGACCTCGTCTGGTCTACAGGAGGTCGTGGGTTCGATCCCGGCCCTGACGCCTGCTGCTGTATATTTGGAGTTTGCGGTGTCTCTCTCTCTCTCCCCGTGGTCGCGTGGATTTTTCTCCGCGTCTTCCGGGGTTTCCCTCCACATTTAGAATCAACATCACACGATGATGACGATGATGAGCCACTTCGTTGAGCTATCATTTATGGCCAGGTCCTTCTGAAAAAGAGCTACACAACTCAGTGGGTCTTACCTGGTAAAATATAGTTTAGTTTTTAGGTCACGAGTTAAACTTCCTAGTTGGGGGGGGGGGGGGGGAATTAACTCAGCCCATCATCCCTCCGGGGTTGATAAAACGAGTACCACTCTGTGGGGAAATCAACGATGGTTGCCCTTTGAATATACTCTTGTCCTCGCCATAAGAATGTGGAATTTCCACCACTGCCTCTGCAGAGCTGTACACAGCTGAGCACCACCAATGCCAGCAAGGGCATCACTTTGACTCTACGGTACCTGAAACCCTCCTACGCAAAAGCCCCAGAAGCCCTCTATTTTGTCCCGAGTCCATCGGCGGAGTGCGACATCGCTTCCCACGTCTCCAGCAGCAATCCGACGAGTGTCACCAATCGGCGTCGCGCTCCCTACTCAGGGATTTATGAGTCGGCGTCACGTGCCCTCCTCCTGCGGGGCCGCGCAAAGTGGGTCACACAAACGGAGCGGATG